TCATCCCGTGTCCCCGAGGGGAGGCAGCGGCCTGAGCCTCGGGCCCTTTGGAACCGAGCTGTCCATGTGGCACCCCGGTTATCGCTGCGGGGGGGCCGGGCCGGGCCCGCGCTGCGCCGCCGCCGGCTTGGGGGTTTTTTTAATCTCGTAATTCACGTAGAACCGATATTATCTTCTTCTGTGTGCTATGATCTGCGAACGTCTTGATGACTTCCTTCCCCTCAAAATATATATATTTTTTTTTTCAAACGACATATTGGAGGTGAAACTGAGTAACTTCTTAGACAGCCTTTTAAGCTAGGAAGAAAGAAATACAAGGTGAGCCTTGTCTCCCTATCTGTTTTCTTTGCATGTGAGGAAATCTGTGCCGTTGGAAGTATTTCCTGATTTCGCGTATACAGTCTGTCTATATAGCATCCTCTGTACTTGGTTCCTTAATTATACACTTCTGTGTTTCGGTAGTTGTGCTGCATCATAAGCAATTCGGTTATAATGAGATCTTTTGATTTTTCTGCTTTATGTATGAGTAATTAAATGGTTTGACTTGTCTTCCCCCTCCTCCTTCACAGCACGCTCATTACTTTTCCTCAAAGTCATCTGCCAAATGACATTTTACAAACAACTGTATAGTTACTTACAGGGTCAAGAAAGTGGGAAGCATATGAATACAGTCTGAAGAGAGAGCCTCTATTCTGGAGAGCTTACAGTCTAAGCAGAAAATGTACAAAGAGATCGTTAGCTAATGGAATAATTGAGTGGGATGATTTACAGACTGGCATCACTTTATGTTTGCTGATTTCCCTGTAGTTGGATTAAGTACATAATGGAAGTTCTGGGGAGGCAGTTGGAGGAGGAGGCATTTTAGACTACCCGGCTGTCAGGTATATGAAAAATAAAGAACTGAAATTTAGAGTTACACCAATACAAGGTAATAAAATTAAACAGTTGTTATGGTATGTTAGAGATAAGGTTTGGGTTGCTTGTCTCAAAATAATCTAATTTTGACTAAATCAGTTTATTCAAGTGTGGACTGTTCTTAGCATTGTTTAAAATATACTCTGAGAAGGTGCTGTGATCCTTGACCTTTACAGTAAAACCAAAGGTTTTTAAAACAGTCCAGAGGGTACTGAGAGTACTATTGTGGTACTTGCAGTGGTCTATGAGGAAAGCAAGCTGTCAACAGAATGATAAATTGTTATATAGCTCTCAGCTCTTCCTTTCAACGTGTTGCTTGCTTTACTGTTTGCAGGTAACTCCCCGAGCTCGTGTGTCCATGAAGGCAGTAAATTTTCACAGCAGCACCATGTGCTGACCGGGAAATTGTTTAGCATGGAGCATCGGGTTGCTTAGCAACAATCTTCCTCTACTTCATTTGTGCTTTTCTTTTAATAGGGCAAATATTCTGTATTTGTTTAACTGCAGCTTACTAGTTTGCTTTCCACTTAATAGATCTGAAGTGCAAACAAGAAGGAGAAACAATTCTTTTAGAACTGTTTTGGTCTCTTCATGTGATATCTTAGCATGGCACTTTGAGGTCATGAGATGCTTCAGAAGCTGTTGGGTTTGGAAACCGGTGGGTCAAAGTCAGGTGAAATGGGCACTGGTGGTGACCGATCCCATGGCAGTTTGGTTGGGATGTAGCTTTTCAGGGTGTTTATCCTTGCATCTGGAGGTTGGAGAGGTTGTGGCTGGTGAAGGTGATGTACTAAATAACTGTCTTGGAGTAGGTGACAGTGAAATTTTGTACAGCAGAAAACATGACCTGAATCCTAGCCAACCGCACTAATATTTTGGTCCCTCATTTTATAAAACCATCAGGCATTAAAAAGCATTCCTGATCTCTTAGAAATGTTCAATGACCTTGTGTTCCTGTAGAGGTGTCTTTTGCTGTTAAGTAGGTAGCCTTTCTTGTATTACTAACTCATCTCTGTGGTCTCTGAGTGTTGGTGGTTTAGCTTCCATGCAGGTGATCTACCTCTTCAGTCTACACAGAATTCCTTGTTGGTTCTTGTCTTCGCAGACCAGCGCAGTGTTTGGGGAAAGCTGGAGAGCCTATATGCTCTCTGACAGGCCTCAGTAGAGAGGTCAGGTTAAAATGGGTACCTGATGGCAGCACAGCAGCAAGTCCTGAGAAGTTTTTGTGCACTGTGAAGCCCTTTGGAAAGGGTTTGTGCCCCTCAGTGCTGTTGCTTTAGTTTTGTTGGCAGCTTTATGCAGGCTTGTCCTGGAAACATGAACTGCACGTAGGCTATCGAGACTTTTCGTTGTGCTTCTGACTTCAAAAATAAAAATGGAAATATGGAACACTGTGCTGTGGTGAATTAGATTTTTATCTTTTTTAAAGCAAAGTGCCATAGAAAATATCAGGTTGGTCAGTTTTGGATTTCACCTCACTTCCATTGCTCTGTCCTCAAACTTATCCCTCAAGCAGGGAAAACAGTGCATAAGGGAGCAATACAAGTACTCTGATTCCTGCCTGAGCTAGAGAGTCGTGCTCAAAGGTGAACAATCAAGTTATAAAATTAATTTGTATTTGTTCTGTAATTATTGTTAGCTTACAGTAATGTTGTTATATCAGTGTACTTTCTGATGCAGTCAGGAGGCTTGGCATCACATAAGAATTCTTCATCATTCTTAGAGTTAGCAAGTTTAATTTACAATGGATTTTGTAAATTGATTGTTGAAAGCCCATCTGATACACTGCAGGGTAATGAAGGTGAGTCATAACTGTTAGCATTTTCATGTTTGCAAGCTTTTCGTTTAGACACCATTGATTTTGGAGAATTATTACTAAGATTTATGAGCAGCATTGTAAGGACAGTGGGGTATAACTGAATTTCCTAACTGAAAGATAAGAAGCATATTGAGATTCATGAGTGGAGAATAATATGGTACATACCTTTTATGCACAAATAACAGGGGCAGTGAGGATGAGATCACTGGCACTGTAGTACTGCCTCGGCTATGTAGTTAGTGTGGATATGTATGATACTTGGTGCAGTAACAGCTGTCTGTGAACCGTAGCCTAAGGCTTTCTAGGGAATGAGGAGCTGAATGACCGGTGCAGTATTTATCCTAACTAAGGATTTCGATGTATTCTGCGTTTAGCTTGATTGTCAAAAAGGCCTGAGTTCAAAATTAATTTTAACTTGGAAATGCAAACTTCTTCACCTTTTAAAATTTAACTGGACTGTTTCAATAGGAAACCAGCCGTCTTTGTTTTAATGTTAAATGAAATTTTGTGATTTCATTCTGATAGCAGCTGTTTCCAGTACTTGTATGGTAAATATATATCCACTCTCCAAGCTCATCTCTCTGGCATGTTTTTGAGAATGAAATGTTGAATCCTGCAGGGGTTTTTGATCTGGAAAAGTAAGTGCTTTTGTTTATCTAGGTTCAAAAAAATTATCCAAATCTTAATTAAATCTGGAAGTACAGGGTTGCAAAGAAAAGAATCTTAACTCTGAACCATGAAGAGGACCTTTTCTGCTCTCAGATGTTTAACTGTGTATGTGGCATGTCTCCAGTATTCAAACTATGTGCTTAGAGGGATGGGGGGAGCCACAATGTGACTGGCTAAAATGAATGATACAACATTGGAAATAATTTTAGTGAATTTTTTTTTTTTAAAGGAGTCATGGCTGGTTATGGCATGCAATATCTAGTGTATTCTGCTCAGAAGGATTTAACTGTCCCTTCAGAATGTCTATTCTGTGGCAACAGTGGGAACAACCTGGAGTAGTAGCTTTCTTGACGGAGCTCTTCTCTCACTGGAAATCTCATGGTATTCTGTCTCCGTGTAAAACAGAAATCTGGTGATGCTCTTGCCAACGTTGTTTACTCTTTGGAGAGTTATTAACCTTTTTTAAATTTTTTTTTTCTTCAAATGAGTAAAACTTAGTTCAACTATACCAGCCAACAAATACATGAAAAGAACGATTAATCTTATCAAGTTTTATTTTCCTGATGGGTGAATTATTTTATGATAAAATTACCCTTCATTCCATCTTCCTGACCAGTTGGCCGCTCACATGAGTGGTATGTGTATGAATAGTTCTCTTACTAAAATTAACTGCAGAAACTTTAATAGATTAACTCTGTCACTTGAGAAATAGCACGGCGACCTATGCTGAAACCTGCTGTCTGTCTCTTTGCTGTAAGCTGAAGTTTAAGTTGGTATCAGTCGTCAAGTGAAACGGAGTTATTACGTAAGGGATGCTTCCGCTTTCGGTCTGCTCACTTGTACTACTGCCAGCTGTGTGGGAGAGCACTCCTCTTTGGTTGGCTTGCTTTTGGGTGTTTCTGAAGGTAGAAATAGTATCGTGTGTGAATTTCAGTCCAGGAGGATGGATTGCGCTCAGGCACCGCAATGCTTGGTGGTTGCGAGGCTACTGTAAAACAAAACAAAGATCTAAATGTTGATAGCAAGATACTACAAAATTCATGTCTCCTGCAGCAGTACTTCTGTCACTTACACTTGATTGTTTAAAAAAAATAAACATGGTTTGGAAACTAATAAAATCCTACGGAAAGAGAGTTCCAGGAGCATCTCTTATTTTCAGAAGTGATACACAACACTGACTTCCTAAAAGGTTTGTAGTTTTTTTTCTTCCAGGTCCTGTTCAAAATCAGCTGATGCATTCATCAGATGGCCAGGGATATAGCCCTTTGGTTCCAGGATCGTATTCGCATCAGACGCCAGCAAAGGTTCCTCCACATCAGTCTTCTGGACAGTATAACTATAGTGGCTCTCAGAATGTTTCTCAATTAAACAGTTATCAAGGACCTGGGCAGACTCTCAATAGACCACCAGTGGCACCTTACTCCGGGTCACCAGTACAACAGACAGGTCCTGTTCCACAAGTGCTGCTGCCCGCATTGCAAAACTCAGCTGCTGTATCATCTGCTGGTAGCTTTCCTCCTGGAGCTAGCTCGCCAGCGCTTTCAAACTGGCAGTACAGCCAGACTCCTGTGAGTCAGCCACTTGGGTCTCAAACAAGCCATTTGGCTCACGTGTCGGGGATGGGGTCAGCTCAGCCACCATCATCGTTATCAGGAAATACAAATCCTCCAGGAAGTTACCGATATGCTGCTTCTCCAGGAGGTCCTCCGCTTCAGAACAGCTATATGAAGCCAGGTAACCACAACTTTTTGATATTTTGCCAATGCCCGTTTCTCAGCATCCTTTTTAAAATAAAGAATATAGAATTTACTCTGCAGTGGCATTTTGCTTGTGGAATGAGGTTGTCAAAGCAGATACTTAGAGAAAACGCACATCACAAATACTAGAGTGGTTTATTTGGATTAGAAATGGAAGTTCAGTGTGCAGGTCAGATGCTTCAGGATTCCTGAACGGTGTCTCGTGGTTTTGGGAAGCTGTTTGTGGGTAATGCTGCTTCTGTGACCTTCACCTTGGGGTGGCTGTTGGAGCGTTGGCATGCTTCAGTCAAGTGGGGACTTTGGGACTTGGTTGAAAACTGTAGTCCTGTTTAGCGAGTGTGGTCTTCTGCAGTTTAAAACCTGTTAGCCTTTCTGTTCATCACTTGATACAGGTAGTTCTCAGAACGGCCTCTGTCAGGTTGATGCAAATAACTTGAGCACAGCCTGGAAAGAAAACTGGAAAGCATTCTGTGCCATCGAAATAGAGGCCAGTTGGATGGAAAGCTGCCTTCCCCCAAACTTGTAATTTTCACTCTCTAATAATAATTGTCAGTCTTTAGAAAGTAGTTTGAAAGCATGAGATGCAAAGAATTACCACTTCTGTTTCTGCTGCTTGCTTGCTGGTATATGCAGTGGTGAAAAGCTTTTCTAAGAGTAAATAGCTCTCTTATGTAACTTATGATTATTATGGAAACGAAGTTAATACTGGAGTTTCTCTTGGCCAAACTGCTGTTTGTTGTTATAGAGGTTTTTCTAACCATCTTTCTGAGCATGCTGATAGGAGTTACATAAAGAAATATTTTAAATGTTAAAGCAAATATTTTTTTCTGGTGAAATGCTTTTAGACTCATTAGAGATTTTTCCTGATGATAATTTTTTGTTATGTGCTTGACTAATCTTTTTATGATATTCAAACTGTCTTAAGCTCACAGAATTTATGAAACTATTTCTGGCAGTTTATTGGAATAAACAATTAGTACTTTGGAATTAGTGAGGAAAATGATGAGAAATTTTGGAAAGTGGCACGTGAAGTAAGAGTGAGTGTCTGCAATAGGAGAATTCTTATATCCATTCAGCAGTGAATCCTCCTGAGCGACTTCCCTGGTAGGTTTTTTGTAGAACAATGATCACTTTTAAAATGAATTTAGCTCGTTTTGCTGATCATGCTCATTCTTAGAACAGAGGTCTGTCAGCTCCCTGCCTGCATGGCCAACTTTGGGCAGCCTCTCAGACACCGAATCTCTTCTAGGTTCTGTGATAGTGTTGCCTGCAGAGAGCAGATATTAAGCAGCTTTGCAGTGTCAAACACTAAGTGAACGAACAGATAACTTCACTGGATATGATTTTTCCCCCCCCCCCCCATTCCTTTGTTATTTCCCTCCTGCCAAAAAAGTGACCATACTGTGCAAGCTGATGAAGTTGCATATTTTGTGTGGTGGGGAATTCATCAGTATACTTTCATGTATGGCATACAGGCTTCTGTACTGTGTGGAGACCTGGTGATACTGGACAATTTGGCCTTATCTTTTGAAAAGCTAACTTTAATATTAAAGCACATTGGTGTTTTCCTGTAGTTAAAGGGCAATTGTACTGGCCTCTGGAATAATAGGGAACAAAGAGGTGGAAGTGCTCTTAGGATTTGACATTATTTGAAGTGAAGAAAAGCAATTGGGTTTCTAAATGTCTTGGCTTGAGAAAGTCCTAGAATTTTAAAATAGAACCAATTAAATGTTTCCTGTGACTTCCAACGTGGAGGGTTAGACACTTCAGAGCAAAACACCTCACACTCACAGAGCAAGTTTTTTCAAACTGCACATTGCTTCCCAATGCCTTCCCAAGTGAAATCTTTTTCCTGAGTAATTTTAGTAGCTCTAGAATCTGTACACTGCTGGTTTGTATCGGATTATTGAAGTGGAAGACGAGCACCCTGTCAGAAGGAGTCTGGTTAGATTCTTACTAGCTCATTATTCTCTGTTTAATATGGGGCTGTACTATAACTATATAAAGTTCAGGCTTGGTAACTGAAGTTGGGATGCTTTCTGTACCTCTTCAAATGCATGCCAACAATAGCATCAAAAAGCTGAAAGAGATGGTGGATAATAGCTACAGGAACCCAGTATGAGAAGAGCATGACAGAAACTGTCTGAAGTTTTGAAACTGTCTATATGCATGTTAGGATTTATGTATCTCATGCTGTTTATCATTTGAACAAGAGAAATATTTAGAGTTCAATCTGTGTGTTTTTGTAACAAAACTTTTGTGACTTTTCCAGCTGGGTTAAACTCCTCCTAAAAATTAATATATTTACAGGATCTGCACCTCCACCAGTGACTCAGCCTTTAACTCCACTCCACCCTCCTACAAGGCCACCTTTAGGATCTCCACCAGTTGGCGGTTCACCTTTAATTAGGCCATCAACACTGATAGCAGGACCACCTAATACACAGTCTCTGCTAAATTCAGCTGCAAATCGAGAAGGTAAGAAATAATTTGCTCTTTTTTGTTGAATTTGAACATTACAACTTGCTCTAATATGCAGCTTTTAAAATCATCTGCATTGATCTATTAGACACTCAAATGGTAAACTTGATACTAATACAGCATAATTTTAGCTGAAAGGAGCAGGTAAGAACCCGGGAGGAAGTAAAATATTTGTTCTTGACAGCTGTTAATAAAGTAAAAATAATTAACCCTCCAAAATAGATTTCTAAGTGCTGCTTAACATGTCCATGTCTCCTATAGCTGCCATCTCTTTTTTTTTTTTTTTTTCCTTCCCTCTCTCCCCCGGTGTTCTAAAATGATACTGGAATTCTAATTTCTCTGCATCCTTGACTGCTGTGGAGGACTGTGTATAGAGTAATCTGCGTAAAACTTCCTGTATTGTTTTATTCCTCTGGGAAGGCTAAAATGTGAACCCTGCAATTCCTTGCCTGTTTATGTAGCTGTACCTTAGTCTTCCTTTCTGTGTAAAATCACCTATGTCGGGTTTGTTAATTTTCGGAACGTTGTTAGTAGAGGCAGTTAAGTGTCAGCTGTTGAAGACAGATACCTGACTTTCTCAGTCTCCTGTGGGCCCTGCACAAATATGCCATTGTGTAAGAACTCATCAGGGCTCTGTGTCAAACGGACCTGCAGTTGTATTGCATTTAGTGCCCATGCTAGATGGGGCCATGTGGTAGCTGGCAGTTTTATTTTTACATGCATGGTTTGTTCTTTTAAAACTGTTGGTTCCTTGCACGTTCAGATTGACAGCTGCTTGTATGTGGTAGCTGTGTGAGTACAAGAATAGTATATTGAGATTTATTTTAGTTCTGAACATATGAAATGCATTAGAAAGTCTCTTCTTGATAATGAAGAGAAACGTTTCCAGGGCCCTGGAGAGATAGAAATATTTAGTCTGTGAAGTAGGTTGACTGCTCTGTACTAGCAAGATTCAGTGTATAATGTAAGCTCCTTTCATTGGGTCAACTTTGAAGATTTTAATGATAATAAAAAGCAAATTGAGTACCTACTTCTCCTTAGCAATAGGTAATTTGTTTTGTATATTTAGACACAGTTAGCTTACAAGATGCTGTAATTTGGCAGCACTCCCTCAATTTCAAGTTTTTTCTTATCTCAGCCAGAATTTATATCTTGACTCGTATATGACCATGTCGGAACTGTTGGTGTTTGGTGAACGGTACTGGACTAAGTGTGTAAAGTGAAGGGAATTTGGTGTTTCTGTGAATTATCAGTGGAAGAAGTTCTTCAAGGAACTCAGTACCTAAATTCCAAGGAACTTTGAAAACTGCAGCTAGCCTACAGACACCTCCTCTGATGAGGAGGAAGTGTCCCCTGACACTTTACTGCATATTAGCTTGGAAGTTATGGTGAATATCTGATCTAAAGTAATCTTAAAAGATCATTTAACCTGAAGTGTAGGGACTTTTGGTTTTCTTGGAAAAAGATTGTGAGGTTTTATGAATGTCCTTTGAGGTCATGTCAGCAGAGGAAGTATGTGTGAGAAAGGGGCTAAGATGTATATTTGATTCAGTTTCGTCCTGGGACGGGGACAAAGTAGATCCAAACTATGCAAACCTTAACGTTCATCCAGCACGTAGGGCTTCTTTGCAGTTACCTCATTGCAACTTCTTACTAACTTGCGAAAATTTTTACTGGGACTGTCTTTCTTAATAGGTGATGCTACATCTGCTGCCAGTGATGGGTCTGTGGTCCAAAACAGCTATGATGCAATAGAAGGTGGTGGCCTTATGGGTAAGGTTTTGGAATTAAAAATGTTTACTATTACATAACTCTTTTTAAGAGCCTGGGAAAGGTAGAAGTTTAAGCATTAATGTACAAACATACATAGTTGGTTCGATGTCTGTCTTGAAACTAAATATGAAATTTGAAGCATTGACAATTAGCATATTAGCCTGTAAGTATGGTAAAGCAGTTAAGAGCACTTTGCAAAATTGACAGCAGTTTTCAGTTGTTCACACTTAGACACTAAAGCAACAATAAAAAGCCCTCCTAGTGTATTCATGCACTGAGCAAGCTGCAGTTCTTCAGCAATTAATTTTAAGTATTTGTCTGCTCTGCCTCTAGCAACTCCACATCCTTCTCCTGCACCCCCAAATCTTAAGATGAGTAGAAGTGTTGGGTATTCTTACCCTACCTTACCTCCAGGCTACCAAAATACTTCTCCACCTGGAGCACCAGGAATGCAAGCACCTGCTTTGCAGTATCCAGATGGATCAAAACATTTCCACCAGGTAAAGATTGTCTGTTTTTTCTCTCATTACTACCCATGGTGCATGTGGGTAAAGAAAAGTGACGACTGGTGTGTGTTGTGCATCTATGGGGTGCTGCTTCTATGGTTCACTGTTTGGTGCGCCATTTGTTCATGATGGTAGACATAGTCTGAAACTAATGCTTTTGCTAATGCTTTGGTACCGGTTTGGAAAAGCTGTGTGCCAGCACTTTCTGAAGTGTTCTATCCTCAAATCTGTTAAAATATTTATCTTAAAACTTTCAGCTGTTTTTGGCATGTTTTTCTTCCCTTGGGTTGCTATTGTTAGCTGAAGTATTTGGGGTTTTTCGCCTAAACTTTCAAAGCAAACTGACCAACACTCTTGCCAGCTGAACCTCTGTATTTCAAGAGCTTTGTAGCAACTGTATGCTAATTTTTACCTCTATTATGTTACATGCCTAAGTCCAAATTTGTGTAATGAGTAGTATTTCTAAATATATAATTGTAATGCAACAGCAGTTAATATGCAAACATAAAAAAATTGAATGGCAAATATGTTTGCTTTTTAAATGAACTCTGAGTTTCATCCAAATAATTGGCATTAATTTCTGAAATTTTATTTGACTCTAGAGTGCCCTGGGCACTAATCACTTAACTGCATCTATGGGTAGCCTGAGTCTACAGCAAGAAGGATTAAGACCTGTGAATCTTCTCCAAGAAAGAAATATTCTTCCTATGACCCTCTTGAAGGCTCCTGTCCCAAACTTGCATGAAGACATCCAGAAGCTCAACTGTAATCCTGAGTAAGATTATCAATTTGCTATAATTCATCAAAATAAACAGAAGTATACATTCCTACTTGTAAATGTAACTCTTCACAAAATATCTCCTTAATTCTGTGAGTAGAAAACATTGAAAACAGGCTTCTCTGTGTTACGATAAAGGCAGTAAGTGGTTTAAACTGTGAAGTGAGGAAAATTATCTGTGCAGAAAGTATGAGGAAAAATATGTTGCTTGCAAGGCAACTGTAGATAGGTACAATACAAAAACTTTACGATATAGCTGGCAATGAATATGATTGAGAAAAGATGTAAAAAAGGAGTTAACTCACTTGAATGAGGTACACCAAAAAGATTGTGAATGCAGAAACGTGAGTGACCTTTGTATTGAAGTAACCATTTAAAACAATGGGGTAAACTGAGTGTCAAACAAGAGGCTGGCAGTTGGGTTATTAAGGTAATTCTCATCCTCTCTCTGAGAAGACCAACCAAACTGTGCATAACCAGGTACTCTTGCTTTGCAAGTCTTTTATGATAGATAAAGGAAATAACAGCATCTTTGTGAAGTTTGTCATACAAACAAGCTGGACTGGATTTGTGAAAGTACTGTGCACTTCTGCACCTTGTGGAAACCGCTGAGTTCTGAAGTCCCTGAAATGACTGTGGCGTTGTTTATAGTTATTTGTGTGTGGTTATTTGTGAAAAGACAACTTTTCAAACTTCACTGGTTCAGGTTTGTATATAAGGCCACCTCAAAATGGTATTCCAAAATAACAGTTAGTTTATAAAAGCTTGGTGCAACTTTGAACATTATTAGGCCTAACTTTGACTTGAGTGACTAAAATGACACTCAGCTCTTTGTAAAAGAGCATGTGTATAAAAGAACATAAGAACTCAAAATATGTACTGTGGGTCAAGCTCAGACTAAACCAGAATGATCTGATGGAGTTGGAGAAGATCCTTTATGTGAAAATGGAAATTCACCAGCTCTAGAAAAATATAAAGGATGCTCAGTACTACTGAAATCATCATTTTTTTTTTTTTATCTGAAAGCCTCTGAAAATAATCCTTTGTCCTCCATGTAGGTTGTTCCGCTGTACCCTGACTAACATTCCTCAAACTCAGGCCTTATTGAATAAAGCCAAACTTCCTTTGGGGCTCCTGCTTCATCCTTTCAAAGACTTATCGGTATGACAAATATTCAAAACTTTAAATGCTGAAATATCAACTATGCCTGCATTAAAGTCCAGAGGTGGACCATGAATTATAAAAGAAGGGCAAGTATGTTGGCTAATCTTGGCCCAGAAAAATTATCCTGGTAACTGACATTTCCCTGTTCCATACAGATCATTGTAATTTTTCTGAATTTTTTTCCCCTGCCATTTTTAAACTTTCAAGCCTCCCTTCTTAATAATAACAAAACAACTCCAAACCTCAAAAAACCAGAAGCTTAGAGGCAGTACAGTACTCGGACTGCGGCAGAAGGCAACATATCTAAATTCCAGTATTGCTTAGATGGCTTTATCTTGTCACATATCATTTGTAGTTATTGATTGCCTATACCAAACCTAGTACTAATTCTTAAATAAGTGAAGAATTAACAGAGATAAAGGGGTTTGGATGTCCTCAGGTAGCCAGGAGACTTTGTGAATTTAACAGCGCCTCTTTTAAACATTGTTATTTTTCATAATTTAAGTAATTTTTTCAAAGATGGGGTTTTTTTCTGATTTTTTGATCTGTATTGGGTGTAGGACTTGGTCTTAAACTATCAGTGTAAAACTCAAGACTTTAGAGGCCAAGTTTGGCTCTAACCAAATAGGTTAGAGCTCAGTTCTGACCAGTTTTATTTTAAGCAATTGTAGGGGTGCTGTGAGGATGGAGAAATACATCTTCCTTCTACAAGTATGCTTTGACTAGCTAACCAGGAAGCAGAGTATAGAAAATGTTATTGTAGATGAATAGCTGTAGTGTGGTTATGCTTTAAAACAGGAAGCTTTTCTTTTCCAGCAATTGCCAGTGGTCACTTCAAGTACTATTGTGAGATGCCGTTCCTGCCGGACATACATTAACCCTTTCGTCAGCTTTCTAGACCAAAGGAGATGGAAATGCAATCTGTGCTATAGAGTGAATGATGGTAGGTTTTAAATGTGCTTATTGCTTTAAACTGTTAAGGTTAACCTGTCCCACCTTTGCCTTTGAAACTGTAATATTGTTGGCCATATCAGTACTGGGGATCGTTGTCAGTCATGCTGGGGCCGTGAGACATGAGAAATGTATCTCATGGGCAAAGACAGTGGTGTCGGTAACGAAGCACAGTCAGTCTGACGTGGTCTCCCAAGGTACCTTAGCAGGTGACAAAGTAGCTGCCCTGCCTACTGTTGTTCTCCAAGAAGCATTACCCAACAGGCACAAAAGAGTTGATATATTTGTTTTAAAATGCACCACAGCTATTACTAATGTGAAGTAATAATATATAAACTTATCTGCATAGTTCCTGAAGAATTCATGTATAATCCTGTGACAAGGGTTTATGGAGAACCTCATAAAAGACCTGAAGTCCAGAATGCTACTATTGAGTTTATGGCTCCATCTGAATACATGGTAAGGCTTTATTTATTCTTAGTTATTCTCTACCTTTGTTTTATCTCCAGAGGGAAGTCAGAAAAAGCCTTGTTATAGGGGATGCTTTCCAGCTTAGCAGGACAGTTGCTACCTCAAGGAGTATATCTGAGAACTCTTGGGAAGAACCTCAGATAGTTCTCCATTACTAAACATTTATGACAAAGTTCTTCTGTAGAACTCTTAGGATATGTAGGTGTTTGTAGGTCTTCTGGGAGAAAACTATAATTCTAAAATTGCCCAATAAGAGACAAATGCATTTAGAAGTTTTAGCTATCACCTGTGTGCTGTTTATTAATAGAGTTTAAACTTGCAGTGAAATGATTTAACTCAATCTAATAAATGTAATTTTGAAAATTAAAGGTAATCTTTTCTTTGTTCAGCTACGTCCACCTCAACCACCTGTGTACCTCTTTGTGTTTGATGTCTCTCATAATGCAATAGAGACAGGATACTTGAATACAGTCTGCCAGACCTTGTTAGACAATCTTGACTTGTAAGTACCTTTGTCTTAAAATCTCCCATTTTTGTTACTCTCATGAAACTTGTGATAGACATCAACACACCAGTACTTCCTGTCAAGAAGAGAAATTTCCTAGCGTTGGCTAGCAATGGCCAATGTTGTATTAAAATATAGTATAAAGCTGTAGTCTTTTTTTTCCGTTACGGCTGCACCAGTATATAAGGTAATTTTGAGGCTTCTCAGTTTGGCTCTTTCCTATCTGCTTCACTAGTCCCAAAAAGGAATAAACATCATGTTTATGATGTCTTTTAAACTGTTTTTTTTTTAAAGCTGAAATGTAGGTAAGTATTTGCTGAAAGGAATGCATACATCTAATAAACTTTTCATAAAGTACATGCTATTTGAACTTACATAAATGCTGCTTGAAATTTTGCAGCTTGTTTCTTCCTTTTCTTCCATTTCTTACTACACTCTTAAATTTCTTGAGTGTCTGCTAGGTTACTCTATTAGGGGCTCTTTTTTTGGTTTTGTGTTTTTCCTGCAAAATGAATTAGTCAATTCATTGCAGTGTAGCTGTTAAGCTACTTGGTAACAACCTTGGACACATGCAGTGGATAGTTAAAAAAAAAAGAAAAGAAAAAAAGCTGCAGAAATGAAATTTCATCTTGCTGAACACCGTATGTTTCATTTTTAGGCTTCCTGGGAACACTAGAACAAAAATAGGCTTCATAACATTTGACAGCACAATCCATTTCTACAGTCTTCAGGAAGGTCTCTCTCAGCCTCAGATGCTTATAGTTTCAGATATTGAAGGTATGCAGAAATAACTTCTGTGATTAGTATCTACTAATGACTGCTGGTTTTGACAGCCTTTAAAAAAATATATCTGGTGGGAGTTTCTAGATCAGATCATGAGTCTCTCTAGTATTGGCTTTAGAAGTAGCATATGTCTGCATTCGTTTATGAAGCCCCTGATGTCTGAGCAATGCTGTGGCTGTTCATGACTTAAAACATGAAGACAGCCTTCCTAGCTTCTATTTTAATTTGTACAATTATCTAGATTTCTCTTATGATCCCAGATATTGATGCTGGATAAATTGCTGTAGATTCTGTGGTGACTAATGCTTAGTGCTTGTTCTTCTACCTTTAGTTTCAAGTCACCTTTCACTGTATGTTATAGGGTAAGGCAGAATGAACACTAGAATACCTTTGCCATGTATTGTTACTTAATAGTCTTCATTATCCTTCAACCCTGATTGCTATTCTGACATGGCATTGTAGCCACAGCTTATGAGGAAAAAAGAAATCCACATAATTATGTTTAAATGGGTTTACACACTGATACTGTATTCTTTTTTCAGTAGGTATAATAGTTGGTAAATACAATTGGGGGAAGCTTGATGTAGTTTTAAAAACTAATTTAAACACTTTTTTTTTTTCTTCCAGATGTATTTATACCAATGCCAGAAAACTTGTTAGTAAATTTAAATGAAAATAAAGAGGTAAGAACTACCTTAAATAACTAGTGACATTCATACAGTTTGAGATATGCTTGGTAATTTCTGGATCACTTAATGCTCTTTAACACCTGCAGTTTAAATGCCAAGTTTGAGGTGCAACAAAAGAGTTATTTAAATTTATCAGTGTGACTGTAAACATTTGCCAACCTGAAAGAAGACAATACTTGACTTTTGCTAGGGCTTTTTCTTTACTACCTTAATATTAGAAGTGTTAATACACATTTATGTATGTTCAGCAGTCAGCTCTATAAAGAAGAAAATTCCTAGGTGATGGTATTTTTGTTTTCTCAATTGTAGCTAATTCAAGATCTGTTGAGGACCTTGCCACAGATGTTTACCAAGTCCCTGGAAACTCAGAGTGCTCTGGGTCCTGCATTACAGGCTGCCTTTAAACTGATGTCCCCCACTGGAGGTAGAATCTCTGTCTTCCAGACACAGCTTCCATCTGTGGGAATGGGAGCACTAAAGTCACGAGAAGAGCCAAACCAAAGAGCAACTGCAAAGGTTAGAAAAGCAAAAAGGTTGAGAGATCTGACTACCCTCTTCTCTACGTGTAGGTGGTTCTGGAATTGCCTGTTCTAGGTTAATTTTGGGGTTCTCTTGTTGAGCTAACTCTTCCTTTGTTAAAGTAGTTGAAAGAACAAAAAAAAAAAGTCAAGCACTATAAACACAGATTAAAGAGCTTATTTCCGCCCCTCCCTCCCCCACAGATATCACTGTAATCAGTGATGGAGAATTAAGTATTAGTATCCCTGAAAACAGGCAATAAATGTGTTAATCCCTTTGAATTTCCTTTGTATTTTGTAATACTCCATTATATTAACAGGATATACATCTGACACCATCGACTGATTTTTACAAGAAGTTAGCCTTGGACTGCTCAGGGCAACAGGTTGCAGTGGATTTATTTCTTCTTAGTGGACAATATTCTGACTTGGCTTCTCTAGGTAAGTCATATTAAGCTGTTTTGGGGCATGTAACTCTTGTGCTTCTGGCAAATACATAGAATCTACATTAACATTTAATATATGAACCTGATTTGAATGAATCTAGTGTGTCAAGATGCAAGCTAATCCTTGATGAACAGTGACAGTCAATAGAATATAATCTTTCAGTTTCTCCTGATTTAACCTAGCTGTTTTCCTATTCTTTCTTAGTGAGTCAGGATTCTTGTGATCCTGGTATAAGTGGCTGAAATACTTGCCTTCTTTTATGCCTTTTAACCATCAGTGTAAACATCTTTAGAGTAAGCTTCCTTAGCATTTTAATTTTTTTTTTCTCCATTTAACCAAACTTTCAAGTGACGAAGTACCTCTAATTTCAGGCCAATGGAAAATTATTTCACACCTGAAACTACATACATACTTGAACATATAGTTGTGTTACATCTATGTCTCTGTATGCAGGTCTAAAACTGTGTAACAGAGCTATTTGCAGGTGTGAATAGTTTAATAATTAAAGTGAATATTGCATTCAACTGGTGTATTTAAACACCACAGCAGCAACTGTGTACACTCTGCCAATGTATGTTGTTTTTCTTTCAGGCTGTATATCAAGGTATTCTGCAGGTAGTGTCTATTACTACCAGTCTTACCATCATAAACACAACCCTGTCCAGGTGGAGAAATTGCAAAAAGAACTGAAACGATATTTAACTAGAAAGATTGGGTTTGAGGCTGTCATGAGGATAAGATGCACCAAAGGTTTGAACACCAGTTTTTGGTTTTGTTTTTTTATTTTTAATTTGGGGGGGGGGGGAGCAGAGGGGAAGCAGGTGTTTGCTATTATTTGGGAATATTTTGATTGGTATTTTGGCATGAATGGTTAAAAGACAAAGATTAGAAAAGCAAAACTCAGTACCATGAATCAGACCATTTATTAAAGACTATATTTGTGGTATCTTTACCGGCATCCAAGCTCCATTTTCCAATGGTTAAAACTGGACTGCTTTTTCAACAAGGGACTGTTTTTATAGTCCAGAGACTTACTACTATTCTGCATTGATTTGACTTCCAAATTCCTGCTTTCTGCTAGGCTTTGTGGATTCTATGGATTAGTTGTCTCTCTGGGATATTTACCTTTCCCGAAAATACTTGCTTTCATTGAGAAGGATTTTAACGTTCTAATACAGAGCCATCTAACAGTGATGGCAGATGTGTAAATGGTGTCTGTACTTCACAATTATAAAAATAAAACTGATTGCATCCAATGCTGATCTTGTAGGTCTTTCCATTCATACCTTCCATGGCAACTTCTTCGTACGATCTACAGACTTGTTGTCATTACCCAACGTAAACCCAGATGCAGGATATGCTGTGCAAATGTCAGTAGAGGAGAGTCTTACTGATATGCAAGTTGTTTCTTTTCAGTCAGCCCTCTTGTACACATCCAGCAAAGGTAAGATATACAGGTAGTGAGGTAGTGTTAGCTGCATTAACAGTACACTATTCCAGTGAGTCTCTTTGTGTCCATTTACCAGCTGCAATCCAGTTGCGGTTACTTACACACACTATTTTATCTAATACCAAGATTACAGCTGTGATGTGTTACTGCATGTTGTTGATGTAATTGCTTCTTCCAGACCACGAAGTTTCTTGGGAAACTTAGTTCTGGTCTGAAAATAGGTAGACCTAACCCAGAAACTGAGAACTAACTGTTTTTAAAAGCTACTGGAAATGGCCTCATTCACCACTGGTATGATAAATTAGATAAAATCTTTTTTATCTTTTTCTACCCCCCCCCCCTTAAGTAAACAGTGGCATTTCTTGTATTGTTTCATAAAACAAAAGTTATGTTTGGAGACTACAGTTGTCTTTTCTTACAGGTGAAAGACGAATTCGTGTCCACACTATGTGCTTACCTGTTGTAACAACACTGAGTGATGTCTACCTAGGGGCAGACGTACAAGCCATCACTGGGCTGCTGGCCAATATGGGTAAGCATGATCAGAGCTTGTTTGGATATGTATGGATGATATCCCTAAAGCTCTGAGCAGTAATCCTCTGGTGAAGTAACATCGGAAGAAAAGATTCTGTCTTTCTAAGAGTGCTTTCTAAGTTGCAAACTGAGAAAACTGAGAAGGTGGTGGTTGGTTGTTTTTTTTTTTTTTTTTAAATGCTTGGCTTATGTAAAGTATCGGTATAGTTGAGTGTAGTCACCTGCACACAGTGCAGGTGTCTTAGTCTGGTGCATCACATGGGCTCCTGGCTTTTTTGCTGAATCATTTGTCTTGACTTCCTCTATAGTGTAGTAAAAGCTTATTAAGATGCATGGAAGTGTATCTTAAAATAAGAAAAGATAATGTATGTGACTGTATTTCTGCCAAGGGAGGAAAAGCCTCTTACTTGAGCTTTGTACTCTCCTTTTAGCTGTGGACCGATCAGTTTCTGCTACCTTGAGTGATGCTCGGGATGCCTTGGTCAACGCAGTGATAGATTCTTTATCTGCTTACCGTTCATCAGTCTTAAGCATTCAACAACCTGGTCTCATGGCCCCCTACTCACTACGGCTCTTTCCTCTTTATGTACTGGCACTCTTAAAACAGGTAAGGGTTAAAAGGAAGTCATGCAAGAGGATGATTGTCTGTTTGGCATGTCAACCTGAAGTAAAAGGACATTTCTTTGATGTATAAAATAGCATCTGTCTTCTTTCAATATTTTTGTGGGACTCAAAATTGAGAAGTTGCTTGATTTAGACTGCTTAATAAAACCAGCCTTCCTACAATTTGCCATTAGAATACTGAGATATTTTACAGATTTCAGAATGTTCCTTCTTAAACAGATAAAGTCTCTCAAGATAACAGTTCCACTTCTCTGCACCTCAGAATTTGATGACTTGAAACGTCAATGTAGAACAAAGCCTATTTAATTGTTTCTCAGGCCTGGGTAGATAACATACAATTTTACAGGTGGTGAATGTATGTTTTTTATCTTGGAGTCTGTTATGTTAGAAAAAAAAATGAAGGATTTGGAGCATTTTATGGAGCAAATGTATCAGGGTAATAATGGACGGGCTTTCTGCTCTTGCCTGCAGAGGAGAGCAACAGGGGATAGACGAAGTATTCAAAGAATGTCACTAAGGAGAATGATCTAGTTGAGAACTGGGAGTTTAGAAGTGTGTATGAAAACAAAAGTATAAGTGATAAGCAAGGGAGTAAGAAAATACGAAAGACACTGATGACTCTAGAGAATGTGGAAGGTACTGGTAGAGTGTTTTTTTCAAGAATCTAATTTTTGTGCATTTCTGGAAACGTAGATCCATGCAGCAGTTCAGTGTGGCTTAAGAGAGCTAGCTGGCTGGCAAAGAGGTAGTTGGCTGGCTGTTCTTGCAAAAGATATAAAGCATTTCACAATACTTGCTCAATGTAAGTATTTTTTGATTGGATTTCCCTGAACTAATACTAGAAGTCATTTTAAGTGTTGAGACAAGCTGCCTTTCTGTTCTAGAGAGAATTTTCTAATTCATACCTCTTTATAAGGAATTAATCAGGATGTTGCTACTAGCATGTTCATACTGACATTGGAGCTTTTTTATGTAGAAGATTTTATAAGCATTTCACCCAGTCAAGTGGGAAGAGAGAGCACTTATTTCAGTTATAGCTGGGTGGTTGTTTTTTTTCCCCAACAAGCCAGGACTATATCTTTATTGTAAATCCAGAATTACCTAAGATTCTCTACATTGAAGCCAATCATAAACTGCTCCAATATTTAGTCTTCTAAATTCCATCAAGTAGCGTTTTTGAGGTGTATGTTAGAAGAAAGCACCTTGAAATATCTTTCATCTCAGCTGTAGTTGTCACTAGAAAGGACTGATGGTGCAAGGTCACAGTTAATTCTAGCACCCAGAAACAGGAATAAGGAGGTGTGCTCTTCAGTGTTTGACATACAAATCATACACTATGGAGAAGTAAAATAGCAGTAGTGAAGTACCGTATTTTGAGAAAATATTTATGGTTCAACTCTAAGACTTTTCAGTAAGTTAGAAATAAACAATAGCTGGTGTGCTAAATTCAACTTATCTCACTTTGCTTTCATGGTCAAATTAAATGCCTGATTGTTTGCAGAAAGCATTTCAAACTGGGACAAACGCACGTTTAGATGAACGCATTTTTACCATGTGTCAAGTGAAAAACCAGCCCCTTGTTTACCTCATGCTTATGACACATCCCAGTCTGTACAGAGTTGATAACCTCACAGATGAGGTGAGTATTTGCATTGCTACAGGGTATGCTTGTCTGATCTCAAAGACTTGTATGATGTGAAAATAAATTTGTGAGTTTCATATTTTCCCATTTGCTGTATTAATGCATTTGTTACTTGGGATTGGATTGATGAATTCTGGGGGGAAGCTATGCCCTGGTTGTGGGTGGATGTGGAAGTTTTTTTCTAACTTATTTCTCTTTTTGCCTTGTATCATTATCTTGCACTATAAATCACACGTACGTAAAGACAGTATAACATATGTGTTAACTTTTTGTCCTTCTGTAGCTGCCTTTTATTTTAAAATGTCAAAGTAGTTCTGTGAACAGTGAGAGAATGTTTATGTAAGACCCTGAATAATTTTAGAACACAAGTCTGATATTCCATTTCTAGAATTTATTAACTAAGATTAAGTTGATGAAGTACGCCCTCTCTAAATAAAACATTAAGAGATTTAACAGTAAATTATGCAGATTATTAGGACAAGGGTCCAGCTTCAGCACTGAGTATAATACATCCTATTCTTACTTAACCTTCTGTTCTTGTGCCTGTTTCAATGCCTCAAGATGTGAACCGCTGCTTTTCTTTTTGCTTTTTCTTTTAGGGAGCTCTTAACATAAATGATAGAACTATACCTCAGCCACCTATTCTCCAGCTGTCAGTGGAGAAGTTGAGTAGGGATGGTGCTTACCTTATGGATGCTGGCTCTGTAAGTTCTCTGGTGGTGGTAATTTTTAAAAGTATCCAAATTTACTTGTCGGGTTCTTTTTGAGAACTCAAAATTTGTAGGAGACTGATGGAGTGGTGTTTTGCCTTGAATTAATATCGTTGTTGCTGGGTGTCTTTCAGGTAATGTTTCTGTGGATTGGGAAGAACTGCGGGCAGAGCTTTCTCAGCCAAGTCCTTGGAGTTCCAAATTACGGCTCAATACCGCAGAACATGGTATGTGCTGGCTTTGCTGTACACCAGTCGTACAGTGCCACCAGAATATTATTTTCACGAGAACTAAAATACCACTATTCAAATATTAGCCCTCTAGTTATTATTCACTATAAATCCAGATTCAGGGAAAGAAATAATTTCTGTTACCTCTCTTGGAATTTCTCCAAGCTAAAGACCAGGTATAGACCTTCCCATGAAAGCACAGTAAGAAGAGGCTGGCAATGATTAAGTTTCTCAGAATTGTGGGAGCAGACTGAGAATACTTGGGAATAGTAAGGACAGTGGGTTAGTGGGAAATCCGTTGGTTTCTGCAATAAAACAGGTATTGATCACAGCTCAGTCATCGCCATTGTGATAGCCAATTGCTTAACCAATTTAGTGTATTTGATTGTTTCAAGCCCTTTCAGAGGAGACGAGACTAAAACTATACATCACAAAATGTACCTGTCTGGGTTTCCTTCATACCTGGTTAGGATAGAGTTAGGCTATTTTAAGTGTTCCTTCTACTGTTTGTTTTCTCTGAAAAATATCACGTATGTATTAATGATACCCTTTGTCTCTTAGACGCATCTCCCAGAACTTGAAACTGCAGAATCCATCAGAACAATAGCTTTTGTTTCTTGGCTGAGAGAACAGAGACCTTTCTTTCCTATACTATATATAGTAAAGTAAGTGTTTTATAACAGTCTTTATGCTTCTTCAGGGACGTCTTAACAATACCTATCCAGATATCATATACTGGACTTTCTAAATGGAAGTTTTAACAATGGTGCATGCTGTGCCTAAGGGATTTGACAACAGATATGACTTGTTATGAGTCGTCTCCAATTAGAATTCCACAGACTAAAAAAGACTAAATGTCACAGAACAATCTTAGGTTAATGGCAGATAAATTAAGTAAATGCTGATAAGTACGCTTGTTGGGATTAATCACAAGGGCTATTTGAGATCCTCTTTTCATATGTCCTTATGCTCTTGAAATATCTTGCCACTTGACCTGTAACTGTATTAATGCATTGCACTGTAGATCTTGGAGAATATTTATTTCACTCAAACACTTATATTTTCATTTTTAAGGGACGACAGTCCATTGAAATCAAGTTTTCTGCAAAATATGATTGAAGACAGAACAGAATCAGCCTTATCATACTATGAATTCCTCCTTCATATACAGCAGCAAGTGAATAAATGAAACACTAGTCTTTGGCTCACTTCTTTAAGGAAAGATTTTTGCAGTAAAGAACGATTGTGCTTGTAATATCTTCATTAAATCTGTGGCCTGAGGCAGTTGATGAGAAGTTCTCACTGTGATTTCAACAAACTAAAGCAAATAAAGGACCACGTCTGAGAATCGAATGTGCAACTACATAATATTGTACCTTTAAAAAAAAAAAAATCAAACTATTGGAACTGGTTGAGCACCTTTAATTTGCTGCAAATCATGTTTTTACTGTGTAAGTAGTTGCAGCATGACCATTTACAAAGGCAATACTGAAAAGGTGAAATACATTTTGTAAAATAAAGAGTTCTTTGTTGTTCAAAATGTATATTTCTGTAACTCTTTGATGATTTTTTTTTTTTTTTTTTTTTTTTTTTTTTTTTTTTTTTTTTTTTTTTTTTTTTTTTTTTTTTTTTTTTTTTTTTTTTTTTTTTTTTTTTTTTTTTTTTTTTTTTTTTTTTTTTTTTTTTTTTTTTTTTTTTTTTTTTTTTTTTTTTTTTTTTTTTTTTTTTTTTTTTTTTTTTTTTTTTTTTTTTTTTTTTTTTTTTTTTTTTTTTTTTTTTTTTTTTTTTTTTTTTTTTTTTTTTTTTTTTTTTTTTTTTTTTTTTTTTTTTTTTTTTTTTTTTTTTTTTTTTTTTTTTTTTTTTTTTTTTTTTTTTTTTTTTTTTTTTTTTTTTTTTTTTTTTTTTTTTTTTTTTTTTTTTTTTTTTTTTTTTTTTTTTTTTTTTTTTTTTTTTTTTTTTTTTTTTTTTTTTTTTTTTTTTTTTTTTTTTTTTTTTTTTTTTTTTTTTTTTTTTTTTTTTTTTTTTTTTTTTTTTTTTTTTTTTTTTTTTTTTTTTTTTTTTTTTTTTTTTTTTTTTTTTTTTTTTTTTTTTTTTTTTTTTTTTTTTTTTTTTTTTTTTTTTTTTTTTTTTTTTTTTTTTTTTTTTTTTTTTTTTTTTTTTTTTTTTTTTTTTTTTTTTTTTTTTTTTTTTTTTTTTTTTTTTTTTTTTTTTTTTTTTTTTTTTTTTTTTTTTTTTTTTTTTTTTTTTTTTTTTTTTTTTTTTTTTTTTTTTTTTTTTTTTTTTTTTTTTTTTTTTTTTTTTTTTTTTTTTTTTTTTTTTTTTTTTTTTTTTTTTTTTTTTTTTTTTTTTGCTGCTAGATATAAAACCTCACAATACTGATCATGATTTGCAGGGAAATTCTTTCTAAGTGCATCCAGTGATTACAGACAGAGCATCTCAGTGTTCAACGTAATGCTTAAAGTAGCAATGAAACGACTGTTCATTGTGAAACGAACAAATACTTTATGAAGTGTAGAATCCAGTGCTTGGATTGGATTAGGCTAATAGGACTAAAGGTAAGCTTAACCCGGACAAGATGGCTGAATTTGTTAAAGCTTTTAATAAGTCAGTATTCTAGTTAAAAAAAATAGAGTGGGAAGGAGCTGGCCCTGTATGAGGCACATTTTAAAAAGTCAGTGGCTGAGTCAGCAGCAAAAGTAGACTTAGGTAGATGGCAAGCTTTGCTTTTCTTCAGTAAAAGGAATAGTTTTAATTTCAGTTTGTGAATGGTGTGGGAGCAGAAGGGCAAGGAAGGTTATCTCAGATTTTTTGGTTTACGTTTAGTAGACTTTTGGCTCTTGTTTACATTAACTGAATGCTAGGCCCCTAAAACTTTGTGTGTTTCTGAAGGGAGTTTGTATGATGACACTTCAAACCTAATGTTTTGAGACAACATTGGATATTCTGACGTTAAAATTGGAAAAGAAATTACTTTTCCAAAGACAAAAATACAATTTTGTGTTTGAAGGTTTGTTTATGGTTTGAGACATGCTTGAAGTTTTAAAAAAAATTTTTTACTGCAGCTGTGTAATGAGCCTAGGTCCAAAGCTACTGTGCACCAAATAAAAGCTTTAAATATACTCTCATAACCCTGCCAGAGCTACAGATGGAAGTTGACATTGAACTTGACGTGAAAATTTATATACAAAAATAATTTTATAAAACTGTATTGGTAATTGTTCCGGTTTGGAGATTAAGCTGTCATTGACAGCTAGCAACTTAAAGAGTATTTCAGTTACTGTATCCCTATGCCTGTGGAAGAGTTTCACATGGAAAAATCTTGGTTTGCTTTTTTTGTTTAATAAGCGATAAACTTAAAGGTCTTGCAAAACATACTTCCTGGGGCAAGTAACTTGGAACAGGTAAAACACTTCTAAGCGGTCAAACATGTACTGTGATTAGGCTAGTTAACTTACATCTTGTGGTATAAATGTCAAAGGACATCATAGGGTAATAATTTGCTACCATTTCAGGCTGTAGCTGCATGTGATTGTCAGGAGTTGCCTTACTTCAGGGGAGGAGTTACTTTGGGGAAATAATTCTTGTCACTTGAGCACAAGAAGCTAAAATTCAGAAGAATGTTTAAAATAGCCTGAAAAGACTATTATGGAACCAATTTAAGCTTCCCTGTCTGCTGTCTCTGTAGCAAACAGGAGTGTATTTACTTGAACAGCTTTTCAGAGAATTGCACAGTTTCTAGTCATAGTGAAAAGAGTTTTTTTTAAAGTTTCGACAGTCTGATTTTTTCCAGGGGGAAAGTGGTCTCTTTATTTAAATCATAAATGGAAGCTATGCAGTTGCATAGATTATGACTTAAAACTTGTTGTTTGGGTATATTATCACCCAGATGTTGAAAAACATCCTTGCATCTAACAGCCCACCCAAAGTCTGTTTCTTACTATGACTGTATTTTGCTACTATATCCCTTATTTTTTTAAAAAACATAAATGTTGGAGATGGCTTCACTGCTTTACATACACCAGACTAATGGCTGAAGATGTCAGTCTTTGTGGCAATTAACAACTGTGAATTAGGGTCCCTGAGTTTTACCGAACGAACCATTATAAACAAGAATCAGATGAACCCTCTTGGAGTTCTGTTCACCTTGGAAGAAATTTTGTATTGAACTTCGTTAGTTTATTCCCTTGTGGTGGGAAAGGCCTGCTGGTTCACCTTGTATTGCTGTAAGGGCAATACAGGACAGATGAACACACAAACTACCTATGATGTGTCATTTCTACCTAAAATTGAAAAATGAGGACATTGAAGATGAACTGCAGAAATAGGCAGGAGTGGCTCTGGTACTTATATGTCAGCATGACAACTCTACCACTGCAAATGTACTCTTACTGTTTAGTTGAAGACTTTTTTTTTTAAAACTATTTCTGTATTTGACACATTAGTGTTCAGCCAACATTGTTACCATCCATTTTACTTTGCTCTCATTATCATTTTTAATTTAATATATTTGAGTCTAAGTCCACATAGACTGTGTTGCAATAACTAGAATGATTCACTTTTTTTAAAATTTAGAATTAATTTCTTAACTGAATTTAATCAAAGATCCAGAGTGGCTGTTAAATAGGGGACCATTAAATGTGATTTTAAGGTTCTGTTTACTATTATGGATGTAATCCTTATAGTAAATTTAATTTTGTAAAGTAGTGTATAATATTGTAATATTAAATCTTTGTTTTCTGAACTCAAACATTTGATCTTCAGTATGAAGTTATAAATCTTCCCCCTTCTGAATTTGAGACAGGATTTACTTGTCCTCCTTTTTACAGTTTGTAATTTTCACTGTTTTATCCCTGTAAAAAGTCATTTGTAACACATGCAAATGCTTATTTTATCTGTGCTAATTTATCAGATTTGGCTACTCAATAAAATTAACTGAAAGAACTCATGCAAGTCCATCGGTCCTTTCTTAAATGTAGAATAAAGTATTTGATCAATCGAGATAAAGATCATGTACCAACAAGTGATAAATTCTACTTTTAGCTAAAACATAGTATTTAGGTGATACAACCTGAGAGGGAAATTGAGAAAACAAGTTCCAGCTGACTCAAACTTTTCTTCTGTCACTGGCATTTTTTATCCCTCCAGAGCATCACTGTCAGCCAGCATTGTTATTCAGTTCTACCTTGGGGTTTGTTCTTCCAGTAAGCCTGCAGCAGTGCCGTACCCCACCGTGTGGTACCCTGCTGCCTGGCTGGAAGGTGGTCTCAAGAGCCAGCTGACATTGATGGTTGAAATTTAGCCTTCAGCAGTGTTCCCAAGATGGTGATCAATTTTATTGTAGGTAATCCTGTATCTTCATTTAACATCCTATTCTTTCAACGCCTTTTTGTAAAAGTTGTTCCATCTTACGCTTGCCAATTTTTTTATGAGCTGTCATCATCACTGCTGCTTCTGGTTCATCATATGTAAGTTAATGCATGAGCTTGGTACTTTGACCTCTGCATGTAACAGTTTCTGAATACAGAATTCTGTCATTCTCTAAATCATTTAGTATTGTAGAAATATTAATTGGACTTGTCAGCACAAAGTTTTTTCCCCAGTACATAGAACAATCTGTCCTGCTGCTGCTGAATATCACGACTCCAGCTGTGGCTTGGCGTGTTCCAAAGGCAGCCATCCTAGCAGCACTAGTCTTTGGAACTCTAAGTACAGGATCTTGAAACAAAGTCCTGCTTCAAATTGAAGTGTCTGTGAGTTAGGGAGTGCAAGTCATTCAGTGTAAAGGATGTTGAAGGTAATTAGTTTGAAGTATTGATGGAATGTATCCACGCCACTGTCTTCACGTGGTTTGGCTTTCAGATATTTTTGCTCTATGTGTTAGCTATCTGAATGTTCAGCTAAGGGAAGACAACCGTGGCCCAGTTTTATCACTTTTTGTCACATAAGCAGAGGTGTGATGGACTTTTTATTATACTTAAGTAAGAATGTTATGCCAATTGTATCTTGCTAGAAAGAACCGAAGACGCTTCCTGTTTTACAATGTTACTGTAATTCTAGAATTCTCGAGAGGTCCTCGTTCCCTTGGGTTTTTCCCTCAGTATGCTGTATCCACAGCAGCGCAGTGACACCGCACTGGGACTACGACTGGGGAAGCTGACCTGTGCTGCCCAACAGGCCCCCAGAAGGCATTTCCCTGCGCTGTGTATCCCTTTCACGTACTTGTAAAAACGTCCCTTTGCTGGCACTCCAATAAGCAGCATATTTCTCTTCCCTCGCTTTGAGCGTGCCCAGAGCTGACAAATTAACTTCCTAAATTCAGCTGCACAGCAGCACTCAAAGCTTTTCCAACAGAAAATCTCAAAACCTGGCCCGGCGCCGACCTGTTCTGCCTGCGGAGCACGATGGGGGCTTGCGCTTCATGTGCTGGAAATAACTGAGCCTGGCGAATAGCTCTGATGTTCTGCTGCTTTTGCAGGGTCACGATTTTGGCCGTTGTTTTTCTAGTTACGGACCGTTAGGTAAATACTACTTTGGTTAGAAACATG